ATCCCCCAGCACCACATGCCAGCCAGCCCCGCCCCCTGGTGGGCTGAGCTGGCCACACACACACACACTCTAAATAAATAAATATTTAAAAAAAAAAAGAACCAAGCAGGAAACATGCACCCATATCTAGCTGAGGCTCAAAAGGGCGGTGGGGACCTGCACAAACCCTGGAAAATACCTAATGAAATTGTGCCAGGCCCTGAAGCTGCTAGCACAGACTGAATGCCAAGCCTGGCAAGGATTCAGCAGGTGACATATCACAGTCCTTTACTTCTAAATGTTTTTAATGTGGCACCTAAGGTTGCACTTCCAGTGAAGTATAATCTTCCAACTGCAAAGTTTAATAACACAAGTTTATCACAGTGTAAAATTAAATGTTCGAATTCTGGAGCCAACACGGTTGCTGTCCCAGCTCGGCCACTGAATAAGTCACCTCAGGCAACTTATTTCAGGTCCCTGGGCCTCAGTGTGCTTTCCTATCCTGGTCCTTAAGGCTGCAAGGAGAGCAGACAGGATTAGATGTGAAAAATACTTAGCACAGTATTTGGCACATAACACTACTACTACTAAACAGCTGCACTGTGAGTTGCACACGACACTCAGCTGATGTGAAGTAAGGGTCAAGAACATTCTATAAGTGGAAGCAGATACATTTCCAACTTTGTTACCGTGCTCCATGAAGGATGCAAAGCAGCACAAGCCTCGGTGCCTGCAGACACTAAAGGCATGACATCTGCTCCTCCTGTCACTCCCTGTGGGGCCTTCTACTAATCAACGAGCAACACAAGCAAGACGGTCCCTTGCTCCTTGGACACATCATGGCCTCCACCGATTATGATCACTTTACTAAGTGACTTGTGACTTGGAGGCCAGTAACCAGCAGGCCTTGTTGGGGATTAAGGCTGTTTTTAAAGCATTTTACTCTTTAGAGGTCAATCTGAACTCATTCAGCCTTAAACAAGTATTCTGTTACCTGTTGCTATTTTCCAATATGTAACAAGTTAGCATTCCAGAGGGGAAGACAAGTTCCTCAGGTCATGTTCCTGAGATGCTGAGATTTCATTCTTTCCCATTAAATAGACATTGCTTACTAATTTTTAGCAACTAAAGTCTTAAAAATATGTCAGAGAAAGAATAATCTTATATGGCTAGTGTGAGACCTCTTTCAGACCATTTGAGATTAAAAAAAAAAAAAGGAAGATTTCATACAAACCAAACTATATTAGTGATTAACTGATGATTTGAGGTTAAAAAAAACCCTCGTGTTTTGAGTTTATTTCTGTACATACCCATATAAAAGCAAACAACTACAATTTGAATGCTATTGAGAAATCTTTTCTTTCAAGCCTGCAACTACTTACATGACAAAATTAAAATGCATAAAACTAATCTTTTAGAAAGATCTATATAAAAACGCAGACTTTATTGGGAATTATTCCCTACCACTCTGGAAGGCTGAGGAAGCAGGAGGACTGCAAGTTCAAGCACATCTCAAACAACTTTAGTGATAACCCCTCTGAAAACAAAACCAAAAAAAAGGACTGGGGATGTCCTCGTTCAGGGCAGAGGCCTGGGTCTGATTCCCTGACTTGGGTAGGAGGGGCTCCTTAATTTACAATTCAACTCTTAACAGATGAAGAAACCTGTCTGGAGGGGAGTTAAGAGATTTCAGTACAGAGGCCTGGGTTTGGTTCCCAGACTTGGGGCAGGAAGGGTTCCTTAATTTACAATTCAACTCTTAACAAATGAAGAAAGCTGGCTGGAGGGGAGTTAAGAGATGTGTTAAAGGTCAAAATCTTTTGACTCTTTTACAAAGTTTCAAGTGGTTAATGTATTGTTGAATCTGACTCACTAGCATTTGAGGATAGCCAGTAAATTGTAAGTGAAGCTAATTTTCATTCATTGTGGCACTGGAGCCCAGAAATGAACACACCTGTACCCTTTACAACTTCAGATAAAAACCAAACTGTAAGGTCAGTTCAGCTCTAAGTCAGAGCCCAAAACTCACCCATCCCTCTATTTCAGAGCCCAAAACTCATCCCTACACACATCAGAAGTGAGACGCTTATTCTAAGAAATGCCTCTGGAATAAATTATGAACTGAAAGAAAATAACCAAACTGAACTTTAGGCCAGTGATCCTCATCCTCTGTACTTCAGAAATCAAACTTCCCTAAAAATACAGCTATACGGGAAGGCTGAACTCAAACACCGAATATACAGGCCTACCGTGCCAAGTACCCGCACATGGAGGCTCTGGTGAATGCTAGGGTTGGGGTCTCTTGTTTCTGGCAATTTCATCCTTCTTTAAACAATACATAAACAGGTATATTAGATATACACGAGTAAGATTGCTCAGTTTCATCTAGGTATGCCCCCTAAAGCATTGTATTATACCACACTGATAGAAGTAGCAGACTTCTTTGTTCTTTATCCAGTTGACAAGAGCACAACTGAGTCACAGGATTTTATACACACTTACAGAAGAAGCAAGAAAGACTCCTTTTCAAAAAGGAATTTAGAAACATACCAAGTGTTCATGACACCAGAAAACACATGGTGCACAGAAAGCTTACATCATCTGCCCTTTTAGGCAGACAATGTTAAGAGTGTTTGGGATAAGATATTAACTTTATTAAGAGGATATTTTCCATTTACGGCCTCTATAAATACCCCTTAAGTTTACACTAGGTGGTTAAAGGAAGATTGTGCAGCTCCCCAGGGTAACAGCGCAGATCTGTTAGGTGTTTCTGAAGAGCCTCATTTGCCTGATGCATGACTGTTAAAGGTGCATTTCCCTACAAAACCCTAAATCAGTGTTCACATTTGCATATTCCAGGCTTACTCAGGAATGCGCAGGTTGAGAATCACAGGTGGCTGCCCAGTAAATCAAAGGTTCCCAGAGGCTTAGGTTTGAGGCTTCCTGAAATTTACCACTCCACTTTCCCAGCTTCCTTCAATTCAGATAACTGCGAGTTTTGATCCCAAAATTATAAATCAAAGTATCTCAGAAGAATATTATTCTACTTTAGTACTTTAACAGCTTACCCTATATAAAGTGATAGTGCTATTGGAAACAAAAAAATCCAACATGGATTTTGGCAGAACTTATTTTTAGTAAATGCACCAATTTTATAAAAGTATCAAATACTTCCCAGCCTAATTTACACTAACACGTTTACAGGCACAACACTGGAAACGAAAGCATAAGGCATACAAGCCAAGGGTACCCACCAAAACTAAGCACACACACACACACCTCGGCCAAATGATTAATTTTAATCACTTAGTGACAGTTCAGCCTTGGTCAAATAACAAGAGTCCTGTCTTCCCAGTCAGACTTCAATTCTAGGGCTGGCTCAGCCAAAGGAGTGTGACCTTGGGCAAGTCACCCCAGTTACTTCCTGCCTCAGTTCCCTCATCTGAGAAGACCAGAGGGGTTAACAGTGCCTGGGTCGTCCTTTGTCCAGGACCAAAGAACTGATATCTGCAAAAGCATATCCCGGGAGCCTGGCACACGGAGAGCACCCCATACCCCTGCTGTAATCAGGAGGACCGTAGCCCCCTCCTTAGTCTCTCCCATCCCAAATCCAAGCGAATGAAGCAAAAACTCTTTGCAAAGCGACACAAAGAAAGCGCTTTAATTTCCACCAGCGTCTCTGACTGCAGGCTCTCCGTCCACCGTCCACCAGTTCCTCAAATGAATGAATGAGCACCCAGGGGCGGCTCTGCACGCAGCTGTCTCTCAGGGGTCAGCTCTGCGGACGTGCAGGTAATCGTCTCTCGCGTCAGTTAAACACCCCCAAGCGCGCGGAGCGGGGCACCCCGGGCGCGCAGACTGCAGCGCAGAGTCCCGAGGAGCCCCCGAGGCCCCCAGCAGCCCCCATTCATTCTCCACAACGCAAGCCCGCCCCCTCCGCAGGTCTCGGGAGCAGCCCCGCCCCAGCCCTTACCCGGCCAGGGGTCTCTCCCTGGCCCTCCGCACCCCGCCGGACCCTGTCACCCGCCCCCGGAGGGGCTGTCGCCGGGCTCCCCTCACCCCTGCCCCGGGCACCGAGGCAGGGGTGCGGCCGTTCGCTCAGCCAGCACGGAGGGGCGAAGTGCCGGCCCGGCCCACCTCCTCTCCCCAGGGACCCGCCAGTCCCCGCCGGCCCTACCGGAGCCAGCACGTAGTAAGAGGGAGAGAAAAGCCCTCCGAAACCCTCGACCCAACCAGTAAGCTTCTCGCCCCTGCCCCCCGCGGCCTCCCGGGCAGCAGTCACGGTGCCAGGCCTGCCCCAAGGAGCCCCCGAGAAAAGGAGGGGGCGACACCCCCATACTCACCCGCCGTCTCCTCCCCCTCAGCTGTTTACCTCACAGTCCCTCCAGCCTACAGGGCGCCGCCATCTTGGACGTACAGCCCCTCCCCCGTCGTAAAGCGTCCAAGGCCAGCTGCGGCCTCCGCCACGAAAAAGAGTCCCCGGCCGGGCGCCCTCTCCCCGTTGAGCCCAGGGAGCGACAACCCAGATGGGCCACCTCTCCAGGTGTAGCAGAACGTCCCTCTCATGGCTGATGATGCGGACTGTCTGAGAGAAAAAACCTAGGAAAAAATTTGGGGGTGGGGGCGGGCACGGCGGAAGGATCCCGAAAGGAGGCCGAGGAGAGATCTTGTGACTCCCAAGGAGGCGAAAAGTAGGCCCGGCGCGACGGGAGGAGCCACGCGGAGCCCGAGGGGCGGGGCGGTCACGTGACGCGCGCCGGGCGCGCGCCGCGAGGCGTAAACAAGCGGGCCCTGGTAGGGCGTGGCGGGGGCGCGCTCGCTCACGCGCTGGGGCGCCGGGCGCGCGCGGCGCTCGGAGGTCCCGGGGAGAGCTCCTGGGGCTCGCGTGGGTGAGCGGCCTGCTGGAGCCTCGGGAAAGTCTCAGTTGCCCGGAGAAGACCAAAAAGGGCGAGGACAAACAGCCCTTTTTCATTTGCAGAGTACTTGCGAAAATCCATTCCTGGGAGATTCAGCAAGGGTCCTGGAGCTGGGTGATCCTAGCGCGTGACTCTGCTGAGAAGCCGGGAGAGGGGTCGGAGAGTGGGTCAGGGTGCTGCTGTGGCCCTGGAAGGTGTTTTGAAGGCGTGGGCATCTTAAGGAATAGAAAAGAAAGAGGTGACTGCGAGCAGAAGGGCATTCTAGGCTGAAGGAACTCAAGCAAGAGCCTAAGCAGCAAGAAAATGCAGAGTGGGTTCTGCAAATAGCTTGCTCCATCCTGGGAACCAATCGGGTCACAGTGCAAGGCTGCGTAGGATGATGGGCCAGGGGCTTGGCAGCGACGCGGTGGGTGCTGGCGGAGTTCCAGAAGGCCCAGGATTGCGCAGGGCTGCGCTGCTGCCAGCCAGGATGGTGCCCCTGTGAGACTGCCCTCAGCCCGGATCCCTGCCTGTGTTCCCCAGCCCACCGGCAACGCTTCGGAGCCGGGAAGCAGGGTGCAGCCTGCATAACCACAGTTCTCGGGCCTGAGAGGCCCATGCGCCAAGCTGGAGAAGCAGAGAGCCTGAGCTCCACCTAGAGTTTGAATACTGGGTTCTGCCATCAACCAGGGCGCAGCACAGGGCATAGTAACGCCTCCTTAAGGGGGGGGAGGTCAGTGAGGCCTTTGGTGAACTGCTCGAAGATCCCTGTCCAGTTAATGTCACATTGGTTTGCTTGCTGTCTGCGTCCACCAAATGCTAAACCTAGCGGTCCAAGCATTGACCATGGGGGAAGGGTGAGGGAGAAGAGAAAGTGGAAGGAAGGGGATTCCCCCAGTTCTGCCAGGCCACCGACTCTAGGCGCCGCCGGAACCCATTCCTGCCTTGCATTCACACCAGCGTGCTGACCCGAGTGCGTCCGGAATTCCTGAGGCCTCTGGAGTTGAGAGCAGTCATGGTTATTAAGGACTGGGGTGGGGGGCAAGGCGTAGCTCCCAAGGGCAGACCCAGGCACCCCCTCTCCACCCCGTTCCTTCCTTGGCTCTGTGACCTCATCCAGCTGGAATGTGCTCTCCCTGGAAGGGAGCTGTAACGCACAGAGCTCATCCACAGCAGGCTCTCTGGGGGGCCATAACCGCGTTCTTACTGTTTATACAGTGTCTGGAAGAATGGTCATTGCTATTTCACTGTGTACCACCAGGGGCTTGTAAGAAGCCGCTGGAAGGCCAGGCAAAAGACGGCTCAGCACCTCGCAGTCTGGGCTGCCTACACATGTTCTGCTTCCCTGGGGTGGTTTTTTTTTTTTTTTTTTTTTCTCCTAAATACTAATCGGACTGTCTCCTTCCTCACACCACGTTGGAGCCTTCTGCAGCAGGGGCTTCCTGGTTGCAGCTCTGGGTGCCAGCATTGCTGACTTGGTACGTTTAAAAAATTTTTATTTTAATGCAGCATCCTCCCTCCCTCTCTGAGGAGGCCAATTGCTTTCCTCAATTTCTCCTGAACCACGGAGCCTGGCCATTGCAGCCTCACTCTAGGCCGCTGAGCCTGGACCCCTGGGCCTAGCTAATCCAGGTTCCCATCATCTGGCCGAAGTGATTGGCTTACATTGAGCATATGATTTGAGCCCAACCAATCAGAGTACTGCCTGCATGCTCAGAGATTTTTTTTTTTTTCTCTTCCACAGGTCACTAATTGGGATGAAGGGGATGTGGTCTCTCCTTCCCCTGTGCTGTGGCAAGCTGTGTAGGAAGTTTAGCCAGAAGAAGAAAGCAACAGGGAGACAGACAGATGGAGTGGCAGGTGGCATAGTTCATGGTGGAATTGATCCCAGGCGCAGAAGGGAAGGAGGGGAGTGTTGGGCATGGTGGTGCACACCTGTGATCCCAGCACTTGTGAGGCTGAGGCAGGAGGATCTCTGCCAGGTCAAAGCCAGTTTGGACTCCCATAGTGTATTCAAGGCCACTCTGAAGTACATAGAACAACCCTGTCTCAAACACACAGAAGGCAAGGAGGGGTAAAGGAGGGAGACAGAGAAAAGCAGGTTGCTGTCTCCTCAATTCTGGAGTCCCTGAAGCCAACTTTACCCTGGCTTTTTGGTTTGGGTTAGTGGTGATCTCAGTGGGTTTCTCTCTCTCGCAAACAGACTTCGGATGTGTTGCAGTTCTGAGGGCCTTTGGGGCAGTCCCTGAGATTCGCCCATTTGAATGTTCTTTGGCATCAGCTCCCAGCCGCCTCTCTGACAACCTTCCTGTCTTCAGGGGCCACATAACTTCAGATGGTGGCCCAGTTCCTAGTGGCAGCTCCTCCTCTGTGGTCCTGGGCTGTCCACTTGCTGCCTAGCACTGTGTCCTCCAGGGTTGTGGCATATGAGAGGGTTCCTCGTGTGCTCTGTCTCCTCTCCTTGTGCGTAGGCAGCTCCCCCTCCCGTGCTGGTCATTTCCCCACTGATGCTCCTGTGTCACGACCTCCTTTCCGTCCCCCTGAGCTGGCCCTCTGGTTTTCCATTGCACTTGACCCCAGCGAGGTAGTAAGAGAAAGAGGAAGGAGCCTCCCTGCCTGACCAGGCCATGCCCCACCCTTGTACTGCGTGACCTGGCTTGTCCTGTGTTTAGAAATGGTTTCCTCCCCTTGTTCCTCACACCCAGAGGACATGACTGTCACCTTCAGGGACCTCACCTTCCCTTGTGTCTAACCTCTGCCCTGGTAATTCTCCCTCCCAAGAGCTGCTGATTCCTGTGAGGATGCCAGCTGCTGCAGCTCCTTCTAAGAGAATATGTCCACACAATCCCAGCACTGGGGAGGCTGAAACAGGAGGATCACTACAAGCCTGAGCTGCATAGTAAGACCCTGTACCAAATGCATAAAAACTTAAAAGAAGAACTACAACTTGTGTGGAGTTCCCTCAGCGGAGCCAGCCAGCCTCTGAGCGACCCAGGCAGGAGTCACAAGTTTGCAGGACCCTGGGAAGCCCCTCTGAAGCTGCCGTGTTCCAGGGCCACAAAGCTAGCTTAGCACCCGCCCTCTCGTGTGCCCCCGAGGTGGTTCAACAAGGCCAGTGTCAGTCCCCAGGTTCATGAGGGCTTGGATATGGCTGTGGCCCTCAGCACCCTGGACAGCAGAGGATGAGCCGCTGGGAGTCCTGCTGGGGAAAACACCTGCCCAGACTAAGGTACAGACAGTGACAATGAGGGACACGGGCCCTGAGGAAGAAGGAGCACAGAGGACAAGCAGCCCTGTGCCCTTGGGCTCTGGCTGTGTTTTCTCTGTTATTCTGGAAGATGCTACAGTATCTTTTAAGTATATTCGCCTTTCACTGTCCGAGGATTCCGTCTCTGGCTGCCAACTAAAGCTACATCAGGCTAAGAATGTTATCTTTGTCTTTGCCTGGATCACACCTGGGTCCTCCAAGACTTACCAAGGTGGACCCACCAGGAAGTCTTCTCGGGACCTCCAGGGTGGCATGGGGACCCCCTCTCTGAGCCCTTCCTTCCACCTAAGGGCCTGCTTCCTGAGGTTGTGAGTGAGGGCCTGGCTTCCCTCCAAACTCTCCAGCGTCTGCTGCCCCCTGGCGGTGAGATGAGCGCGAGGCTCCTGGAAACGGCTCTCATTCAAGGTCAAAAGCAGGAGCAGCCACAGGCATTGAGATAGCGCGCTGCATCCCATCAGCACGTGCACTGAAGGGCTTACATGCTGTCTCGAAGAACACAATGAAATAAGGAAGCCAGGCTCACTGGACCAAGGGTCAGCTAGGCAAAGAAGGGCCACAGTGGCCGTGGGTGCTCCAGGCTCCTACCCGCTGTCTTTACATCTCTGGGGGGCGGAGGCCGAAGGAGGCTCATTTACTCGCCCACTTAAGTCTCGGATGTTGTGTTCCTCTGCTGTGGCTGCCGTGTTGTGAGTACGCTTCACAGCAGATCTTTTTGCCTCACGATTCTAAAAGCTCCAAATCCGATATCAAGATAGCCGTGGGGCTGGCTCCTTCTGGGCTGCTCCGTGCCTCTCGCCTGACCTCTGGCAGCTGCCTGGCCGCAGCTGGTGTCCCTTGGCTGGAGACCCGTCACCGTCTCTGCTGTCAGGTTCACGCGGAATTCTGAGTGCTTATCTCTGTGTAAATCTCTCCTTTTATTACGACAGAAGTTGTATCCAGCTGGGGACCCGCTGTATTCCAATATCCATCTAAATGGGTAACGAGGGACGACCCCGCACGGTAGCTCATGCTGAGGACCTGTGGGCTTCGACGACTTCAACTAGGGGACTGCACTGGGTCAGGGCCTCAGTGGCCGTGAGAGGCCCTGTTGGTGCTGGACTGCGCGCATTTTATCTTCATTCCCCCACCTGCTCCCCTCCTTGCTCGTAGGCAGCCACTCTAATGTATGGAGGCTGTAGTGTGTGTGTGTGTGCGTGTGTGTGTGTGTGTGTGTGTATTTCTACTTCACGTAAGCGAAATTCGCCTGATCGTTACAGACGGTGGTGTTTCTCACTTCTCCCCCCACCCCCGGCTCCATACACGTTGCTTTGCGCCTTTAGGCAGCGGCTCTGACTGCTAATGGTTATTCAGTGATGGAGGTCCACCCTAATCTGC